ACATGAGGTAATATGATTTGTAACGGGCATAATATATAAGTATAGATATTACATTAGATTATAGATCGAATATGTATCGATTGTACAGTCTCTCGCTTGGTCTCGCAAGTGCAATACGCGCTTCAATAAACGCTTAATATTAAAGCCTTATTATTTTCTCCTCACGTCCGCCACATTTATTTTATATACAATCATACTATTCATTTTTTATAAATATTTATTCATTCTTGCGTATATGCATAAAATGAAGTATACATAATGTTTAACTAGGTTTTTTATATACACTATTAAATAAAATAAATATTATAAAAAACGTTACGTAATATAATGCATGTAAATTTTAGGTAGGTACTACTATATATTACGTTTTTTTAATAAAATAAAATTAATTTGAATAAAAATTCAGTCTCTGAAACTCGTTCCGGCAAATTCGCTTTGAATACGAAGCACAAATACAACTAAATTATAAATGGACATACGAGTATGAAATGAACAAGGAATTCAAGATATATTCTTCTATATCAGGTTGCTCGAACCTTAACATTACGCAGAAGGGTGTAAATCCTTATTCGTGTAAAACGGAGGTTGCTTGTAAACTTGATATTTAGGATAAAGCATATTTAATCCTTAAAATATTTGCCTTTACTCGCTACGATTAATTCAATCAAAATAAATCATTTGAATAACCCTTAATAATTTCATTAGGGATGTACGAAGAAAGATTTAATTCATAAATTAAATTTAACCAACCAAGTCAAAAACACATCTGTTGACGCAAGTGTTTTTACGTTCTTGCTCGACCATATACATATACATATATATAACGTACTCGTAGCTTCGTAGCTTTATATGCTACGAGCTAGTAGTGCGGCGTTATTTTTAGAATAAAGCAAGTGTTTTTTTATTTGTTCAACAGTTCTGTTATCTTATGATGTCACAATTGTTAGACGGAGTATCTTTCAAATTAAATAACGTTTATATTTGATAAATTAATCTTAAAACACCTAATGTGTAAATAAGTATGAAATATTATTAGAGTATGTTATATATTAAATATTGACACCACATTAAATACCACTTTGATTAATGAACAAAAATAAATAATACAACAATCTGTATGTAGGACTTATGTAAGTCAACTTTTAGGTCATACAGAGATGTTACATTAACAAAAATAAAGCAAAAATTTAGTAATGTATTATATTAAGGAAGCTGTAATCAACGATTTTTTACGCTAAGATAGCGAGACAAGTCTTCACATCTACATCTTATTTCGGTCTCGTTAGAGTGTAATGAGCGGATAGCCTGGAGCACCGCTGTTCACTGTGCATAGACAACGCGCTTGTCATTCGCATTATTTTCTCCTTATATTTAACTAGAAGAACCTGCAGCTTCGCTCGAGCTAAAATTACAAAAAAAAACTCGAAATAAGGTAGGTTTCATACAAACTTTCATGCCCCCTTATGGCATGAATTTCGAAAAACGCTAAAATACGTATTTATTAAATTGTATTGAAGAGCATTAATACCAAGTTTCAAGTAATTCTGATCATGAATATTTTTTGGGTTGTACTATAACGTGTTTTCTCGTGGGAATGAGATAACCTCTCGCACTAAAAGGTAGCCTATGTCACTCTCCAGCCCTCCAACTATTTAAACTATTTAACTATTAATTTTAACTATTTAACAAAAATAATTTAAACAATTAACCACACAAAAAACCATCCTAATCAAACATTCCGTTTCAACGTCAAAGAAGGACAAACAAACAAACAAACAAACAAACAAACAAACAAACAAACAAACAAACAAACACACTTTTACATTTATAGTATTAGTATGGATATGGATTTTACATACCTTCAAATTAAGGCTACACAGTTTTGACTTATTATTGACTTGCCCTTGTTTGTATAGTTCATTAAAAATTTCGACCAACTTTTGGTAGAGCCGCGGAACTGCTAACTCATTACTCCTAACCATCGCGGAAATATGAACACTTTCAAACTTTGTTCCTCATATTTGGACTTCACGAAATTAAATTTTGTTTAATAGCAAACATACTCATTTCAATTATGATACTTTTGTTCAAAATTATAGACTAAACAAGCCCAAAACGTGATACGAATAAATCTTAGAACGCATGTAAAATTTAATTAATTTATAACCAAGCGTAGAATGTACAGTTTATTAATATTAGAAAATCTTATTTAATATTATAAATTTCCATACAGTTGCAAATGAATGACGACAACATTCCCACCACGTCCGACTTACATGGAGAATGCACAAGAAATTCAACAGAAACGTTATGCAGAGAATACGGCGCTTGTTTCAGAGGTTACGTGCGGGGGCTATGTACAGTTGTTATGTGGCGAGAGCAAAATAAGTCTTTTTTTAAAAACTAATTTATTTATTAACACTGAATTTAACAAGATTTAATATAAAGAAATTGAATTATTAGAAATCGTAATAAACTTATACTAAAGAAACAGAGTAAAGATCTTGAACGGAGTTAGAAATAGGAATCTCTTTATTTCGGGAGTGCGGGAGTATTTATATGGGTTTGGAATAGGAGGGGATAATTAGTGGTGAGAATTACTTTATTTACATAACAAATTTGTTAACACTAATTAAGGGCTAAAGGTTGTTAAAATAATGATTATTTACTAATGATCTAAACACAATATAGAAGTACACAGTAGATAAGAGATTTATATAATATATGTGAGTACATGTCTAATAATAGGTATAGGTAAGTGCATATGTAACACCTCCCCTCTTAGAATAAAGATCGGGCCTTAGGTGTGCGCGATCTTGCAGTTGTAGGTAAATTTTCGTCTTCATCTTCATCTTCTGATAGTGCGCTCGTGTTGATTGTTGCTAACGGGATGCTCTGGCGCTGACGAGAGTTGTCAAAACAATTGTTAAATATTTGGATACAGCCTGATTTGGGCTGAAGATCTCGTGGGTTTCGATTTCGAGTCCAGAAATAATGCCATGGGCAGCATTTGTAAAGTAGAAAAATGAGCATTGATGAGCCCAGTGCCATAGCGGTGAAAGAAAATTTAGGACTGGAGAAATTACTATTGAAGGAGTTCTGTTGTTCCTTCAGAAGTTGTTCTTGGACTTTAATTTGTTCTTTAATAATATGTAGGGAATCTAAGGGAACATTTTTCACCATTATAGGGTGTAACTCAGGCGGAATTGGTTGTCTCAAGGTTTCAGGAAGACAGGCATCTTCAATGTCCACTGTGATGATCGGGTAAGTCAGGTTCGTCATCGTATCCTCTTCTGCGTTGAGTGTCACAAAAGCGGTGTAAAATTTGCATCCTGATTTCAAGGAAATTATTCCGGAGCCAGAGATTTCTTGATGTTCTATTTGGTTTCCGCATTCAACTATGCTTGGTGTCTTGAATCTCAGTAGAAATATCCACTGGTTATTTCCGATGGATTGAAAGGTGTCCACATGTGCTGAGAAGGTTGTCAGTTCGCAATTACTTGGTGGTTCCTTGCTGGACGATTGTAGTATTGCAATCTCGCATATTGGTCTGGCGTTGTAGTTGTATACTGGTAAGTCCTTGCAAACTCTTGTTTTTGTTGTGAACATCTTGCAACTTTCCAGGATGCTCGTTGTGACGTAACGTTGCAGTGTAGTAGAAGTGGCAAGGTATGTATGCTCAGGGAATAGGGTTGAGTAATAGGAGGAATTGTAATGTTTAATGGGAATAGAATACATGTGATATAGATTAAATTTTTCGTTTTTGACTAAAGGGAATTCTAATATATATATTAGTTTATTGAGGTAAATGTAAGACGTAGGTGTTGTAGATTCTAAAATTTTATGAATGTTTCCTAACGTTATAGGTGCGACTAAATTGTTATTTATTCTAAGATGGTTTGTTGCTAAAAGTTCTTTATAAAGTTTAATAGTCGAAATAATAGAAGGGTGAATTGCTCCTGATTTTATAAACAATATGCTTGTAATTATTTCGTCTAATTCTCTCTCTAAAGAAAGAACTGATTCAAGAATTTGAATTGAAACAGTTGATATTTCTTCAGAAACTTTCAAGTCAAAAATTATTTTATTTGTAGTATTTAAATAAGAGCTAATCCTATTCAGATTATCATTCATAGAATATTCATCGTAAGAAATTCGAGAAATAGTGTCGTTGAAATTAGAGATGGTAGAGGAAATGATCTGTAGTTGTTGGGTTAACACTTGATTATGGTCTAATTGTTGCTTTTCTAGCAATTCAATGCATTGATTATAGTATTGTGCGTCTTTCGCGTCAGGAGTACCTATTAACCATTTTAAAACCGTACCAAGGCCATCTATTAATTCGCGTTTGGCGCGATTATGGTTATTCGTATAGTAGCTGAGTTCATTTAATCTAGTATCTATTTTATCTAAACTGACTTTAGTGAAGGATTTCGTTGTATAAATGCTAGGGGTAATATATTTACTAGAGCTTATGACGGTTTCGTAGTTAGCGATCAATCGTTTCAAGGAGTCACGTGAGAGAAAAAGTGGTTCTAAGTTTCTAAAGATTACTAGTTTCCAGGAGCTTTCTGAGATGAGGATGTCTCCTAGGGGTTGATAGAATAGGCCAGACTTAGATGGTAGTTTGTTTATAGCCATAAGTGTACTTCCATCAACGTTTATTATTGTGGAGTACCTGAAAGGGATAAAATTTGACTTAATGCTTACGAATTCTTATTGATATAAATATTTTTAAAGAATTTGTATAATTTGTATAAAAGTATGTATAATATAAATTTGAGTATAGATAAAATGATAAAACTAAAATAAGGGTTATTCATGATTTTAGTGAATTTATCGTTTAAAAGTTGTGGTTCGTTAGATGTGCGATTTTGTGGAATAGGATTGGCCATTACCAAATGATATTGTAACCTGAAAGATATTATTAATTATTATATTGATTATATATAAAAATATTATATATATTTTCTAAAGCTATCTAATATTAATTACAACTAGGTATCAAATTGATTATTGCAATCTTGTAAAGGTCTTAAGCGATTGCCGTGAACTAATTGGTTTCTACCTGATTTTCTTATAATATAATTTTCATTAAATCCTTTTCTTGCAATTACATAAGGCCCTTCCCATTTAATGTCTAGATTATTAGGATTTGGGACGCGGAGCATGACTTTATCGCCTAATTGAAAATCAGCTATGTTTACGATATTATTGTCATAGCGTGTTTTAGCTCTATCTTTCATATTGTTAAGATTTCTTTGAGCTATGTCACGAGAAATCTTAAGACGTTCGTTAAGGTCATTAAGGTAGTCGTTTGTTGTGTATTCGCGTGAGTCCTTAAGTGTATAAAGCAAACGAGGTTTGTAACCGAATAAGAGTTCATGAGGTGTGAAGCCTGTGGACTGATTAAGTGAGGTATTATGGCACATTATTGCGAGTGGTACAATTTGATCCCAATTGTGTGACTTTTTTGTTGAGTACATACGTATGTGATCTCTGAGTACTGCATGAAATCTTTCTAATGCACCGTTTGTTTGTGGGTGATATGCTGTGCTGAACGTGTGTTGTGAGCCTAGTAATTTCATTAGCTGTTTCAATATATTATTAACGAATTCGCCACCTTGATCTGAATGGAAGCGTTTTGGGATGCCGTAGTGTTGACAGAAAGTTAGAAGAGATTTAGCGATAGTAGTTGCTTGTTTGTCGGGAATGGGATAAGCTTGAACAAATCTAGTTAAATCGTCTTGTAGCGTCAGTATGTATTTATTAGAGTCACCTGTAATATCAGAGTAAGAAACTAAGTCGATAGTAACTCGTTCGAATGGTTCTGTAGAAGAGGTTGTTATAACCATGGGAGCTTTGTATGTCTTTCTTTGTATCTTACTGCGTTGACATATCATACATTTATTAACATAGTCTTTAATGGTGTCAGTCATACCATTCCAATAATATTCAGATCTGATTTTACGTGTAGTTTCTACTATTCCTCTATGTCCCGATAAAGGGTCGTCGTGAAAAGTTTTTAAGATTTCAGGAATTTGCTCTGGAGTTGGATGTTTGATTTTATTTTCGCAAATTGTAATTTCACAGTCATAGGAGTCAGCTAAGTGTGCAGTGATGTGTAATTGTTCATTGCCTTGTAACTTACATGTCGGGTCATTTTTGAGATCTGGGACGAAAAGTGATTTGAAGTTGTGATGTTGTAAACAACTTAGAAGGGTTTTAAAATAACTTTCAGAATCCCATGAGTCGAAGTGTGTTGGCCTTGTACAACCGAAAAATATATTTTGTTTGTTATCTGAGACAACTAAATCGACGTCATAGAGTGTCTTGGGTTTTTCTAAATATGGGTCTACTTGAGAACACATTGAGATTGCAGTATTAAAAAGGTCGTTCTTATCTGAGAGTTCACATGAAATAGGAACAAGTATGTTTTTATGCTTGTCACTTAAGAGATTGTCGGGAGAGATATGGAGATTTGGAGTGTCAAGGCTATAAGTAGGATTATCGGCGAAGTGTGCATAATTTATGTCAAGATAGTCTTCTGAGAATTGTTGAGTGATCGGAGTTTGAGAGGTGTTTGGAATGTTGTCGTTATCGTCGTCGAGTGTAAGGTCAATAGTGTTAGTGATCATGACAGACGGTCGTGAAAGTGCGTCAGCGTTAGTATTATTTTTTCCAGCTTTATAAATGACTTCGTAATCAAATTCTTCCAGTTTTAGCCGCCATCTAACAAGACGACTACCTGGGTCTTTTATCGAGAATAACCATGTGAGAGGTTTGTGATCTGTTACGATTTTGAATTTTCGACCAAAGAGATAGGGTCGGAAATGTTTGACGGCCCAAACTATTGCCAATAATTCGCGTTCGATTGTAGAGTAGTTGGATTCAGCTTTGTTAAGTGTACGAGAAGCGTATGCGATGGGTAAATCTTTACCTATCTGGCCTTGGGAAAGAACTGCGCCGATGGCGTGTATTGAAGCGTCGGTTGTCAAAATAAATTCTTTTGTGAAGTCTGGGTATTGAAGGATAGGAGGATTAATTAATAATTGTTTACATTCATCGAACGCTCTTTGTTGGGTTTCACCCCAAATGAAAGGAGTGTCTTTTTTAAGGAGGCTAGTTAGGGGTTTGGTTATTTTACTGAAATTGGAAATGAATCTACGATAATAGCCTGTTAGGCCTAGGAATGCCTTAATATCTTTACAGCATTTTGGAACTGGGAAATCTTTGACAGCTTGGACTTTATCAGGGTTTGGTTTGACGCCTTCGTTAGAGATGATGTGACCTAAGTATGCTACTTCACGTCTAAGAAATTCGCATTTATCGGGTTGTACCTTAAGCTCGTATTTTTGGAGTCTAGAGAATACTTCCCGAAGTTTTTGTTCGTGTTCTTGTAAACTTGATGCAAAAACTACTATGTCGTCTAGGTAAACGAAGCATCTTTCACCTTGTAATCCGCAGAGTACAGAGTCCATTACGCGTTGGAATGTAGCAGGAGCATTTTTAAGACCAAATGGCATTCTTTTATATTCGTAGTGGCCGTAAGGAGTGTTGAATGCTGTTTTAGGTATATCTTCAGGTTCAACTTCAAGTTGATGGAAACCTGAGGCCAGATCTAGTGTAGTGAAATACTGTGAGTGTCCTAATTTGTCCAAGATATCGGTAATGTTGGGAAGTGGATAGCTATCGCCTACAGTTACTTCATTTAGCTTACGATAATCTATTACTAGACGCCACTTTTGTTTTCCGGAAGCGTCTTGTTTCTTTGGAACTACCCAGATAGGGCTACTCCAAGGAGATGTACTAGGTTGAATTATGTTTTGATCTAGCATTTTCTGAACTTGGGTTTTGACCTCGTTTTCATGTATTTGTGGGAATCTGTATGTTTTAGTGTGGATAGGTATATTAGATGTAGTAGGGATTCGATGTTTGGTGTGGTTGCTAAAAGTGAGTGAGTCGCCTTCGATAAAGAATATGTTTGAGTATTCGGATATAATTTTATCTAAAGATTCGCATTCTTCAGGATTCAAATGTTCTTTTCTTATCAACTGTCTAACTTTATTTTGTTTATCTATGGGGTTAAAATTGTTAATTGTGATGGGTTGTTGTGATTCATTGTATGTTTTGTTATAATTATCATTATCGAATGGGATGGTATTAATAACAGGGGTAGTAATTATCTTATCTACTTTGTTTGCATTTATACAAGTTATTGAAAACGAATTGTTTACGATGTTGACTAATGCGTGGGGAATAACAACACCATTAGTTAGAAATTGTTTTTCGATAATTGCTGTGCCTGAGCTAATGTTATTAGCTTTACATCTAATTATGGTTTCTGATCGACTAGCAAGGAATTGTTTATCTGAACTGTAATTAGAGATAGGCTCATTAAGATAATGGAGATTGTAAGTTTTATCGCGGATGCGCATTGTCTTCGATTTTACGTAAATATTGGCGTTAAAATGTGTCATGAAATCGTTACCTAAAATACCATCTGCTTTAATATTGAGGTCAGCAACATGGAATTTGAACGGGGAAAAGTTATCTAAGGTGATTGCAGCGGAACCAAAACTACTGGTTGATGATTGCGTACTAGAAATGCCTATGATCGATACTACGTCTGCAGTGTCTAATGGAGTCGTACCTATTTTATCCCGTCTAATTACTGAAATTCCTGCACCAGTATCGATGAGAAGGGTGACAGGCTCACCTTTGATTTGAAAGGTGCAGTGTAGTAATTTTTCAGGAGGGACGTCGTTTAGGGGCGATATTGAGTAGGATTGAATAGGCTTTGGATTCGAGGAAATAGGATTTTGAGGTTTAGAGTTGGATTTAGGTTTAGATTTTGAGTTAAATTTTGGTTTCGATTTAAGAGATTTAGAAGATTTAGTAGAGATAGTAGGTTTAATGGAATTAGTAGATTTTGTAGAGTTAGTAATAATTTCGGTATTGAGAGTTTGGGGCTGGTTACCCTGTTCGTTAATTACCGATTTTGATTGAAATTCAGTTTGTGTAGACGCATCTTTGAACTGTCTCCGATAGACTGGTGATGCATCAATGATTTCCTTAGAGATAGTTGGGCTGTGTCCCCGATGGACTGGATTTGGGTAAATGCGACTAAGATTTTGTTTAGGTAAAGCGGGTTTCTTTACCATTGAATTTGGGAGTGTTCTAGAATTAGATTCGGTGTCGGAGTCTGAATCGTTGAGCAGGAGGTTGAAGCGATTTCCAACGAGCTGCTCGCCTCGCTGGTCACTTCGGAGTTTAAATTATTCACACGGGATGCTGGTAAAGGAGCTGGTAAGGCGCGCTGTGTCGGAGTGCGCATTTGTGTGGATGGAGCTGGTAGTGCTCTATATATCCCAGGTTGGTTATTTTGAATACTATTATTGTAAGCTCTTTTTCGACATTCCGAAATGAGATGTCCGGGTTTTTTGCAATAATTACATATTTTATGAGGTGTATGCGTGATATTAGGTTTGGTGTAATTTATACGATTAGTATCGCTTGGTTTACTTGGTTTATGATTAAATAAAAGTTGCCTTGAGGCATTCATTGACCTAATCTTGTCTTCTTCTATAGCGAAACGTCCTGCTTCGGTAAGATTCTGGAAACCACGCGTCCTAAGCATTGTACCTATTTCGCTAGATAACCCGTTTACGAAGACGCTTAAGGCGGTCTCTTCCGTACTTGCTATGCGGCCTGGTAAGGTACCATCTTTAATTTCAGTGCTCAACTTTTCTATTATTTTACTCCTACAAAGGTCTACCCTATGATAATAATCTGTTAGGCTTTCTCCTTGTTTTTGAAACATAGATTGGAGTTCTAAATTTAGGTGTGATATTGTTTTGACATTTGAAAATTTTTCTATGAGGTAAGACTTAAGGTCCTCCCAAAAAGCATATTGCCTACAATGTATATCTGGAGCACCCACTCCTGTTATATTGTTGAGGGCATAGACGAGAAGTATTTGTTGTTTTTCAACGTCTGCCGCTAGTTGAAACGCGGAATCACATGATCTAACAAATCTGTAGACTTCTTGTGTTTTAGAGGTGTCGAACGTGGGGATGAGTTTAATTAGAGTGTTTATTTCAAGAGACATGTTTGAATTGTGTGTGTGTGGTGAATTTAGTGATTTAGAAATTGAACAAGGTTCGTGTTTGATAGATTTGAACATGTATAAATTAAAAATACACAAAATATACAAAAATATGATATAGGGAAAGGTATGAGCAGACAAATTTAGCCACTTACCACAATAACGTTAAAAACAGGATCATCGCAGGTCCGGCGAACACTTTCAAAAGCCTTTAGCTACCGTGTTATATGCTTGATATACGCGTTTATGTTCGTCTTTTTGCGAGTTTATCCTACCGACTGCGCCAAATTTGTTATGTGGCGAGAGCAAAATAAGTCTTTTTTTAAAAACTAATTTATTTATTAACACTGAATTTAACAAGATTTAATATAAAGAAATTGAATTATTAGAAATCGTAATAAACTTAACTAAAGAAACAGAGTAAAGATCTTGAACGGAGTTAGAAATAGGAATCTCTTTATTTCGGGAGTGCGGGAGTATTTATATGGGTTTGGAATAGGAGGGGATAATTAGTGGTGAGAATTACTTTATTTACATAACAAATTTGTTAACACTAATTAAGGGCTAAAGGTTGTTAAAATAATGATTATTTACTAATGATCTAAACACAATATAGAAGTACACAGTAGATAAGAGATTTATATAATATATGTGAGTACATGTCTAATAATAGGTATAGGTAAGTGCATATGTAACACAGTGTGCTGCATGTAGGTATTTCATCCTTTATATTCATAACACTCGGGCGTGACGGAGTAATATAACGCAAGCACGGGAATTAATGGATGACCTATTTTATTTGAATACATTTCTTAACACTAACTTCATACAGATACTTTTTTATAAATGTACAACTAAGAGATTATATATAATAGTAAAAATCTTCATAATAATTAAGGAATCTAAATTATACACAGACCTACTAAGTGGTACGTCACGTTTTATTTTTCAATCTATAAAATCTCATAAATATTAGAAATGCGAAAGTTTGGATGAATGTTTGTTATTCAATCACGCCAGAACGGCTGAACGGATCTGGATTAAAGGCACAGAGAGATTAGAGCCTGGAATAGCACATAGGTTAATTTTATCTCAGAAAAATGTACGGTTCTCGTGAGATAGATTTGTTTTTGTTTTTCACTAGGGAGGAACCAGATCGAAGCAAAGGCGAGTAGCTAATATTTCATATAAATGTTAACAATTCAAAATACTTGAGATTCATTTATAAACAACTTATTTCGTTTAAAATGTTTTATGATTAATGTAAACTATAAAAGCATAGCTCTATATAAAGATACCCCACTTTATATATCGCAGAGTATAGTCAAGTTCATTGTTTGCGGGCCGTCTCATGTTCGCGACTTCACCATGTGACGCCGCTCGCTATTATACCGTTCTCCATCGTATTGAATCTCCTCTTGTATATTTTAAGAGAAACTAGGTAGAACATTCTCAAAGCAAAATTAGAGTATAGGTTTAGGTCTTAAACGCCTTTTTAAAAGAAGTAACTTTTCAGTGCGATTTTAAAATATTATGTTACACAAGACATTAACAATTAAAATTAATTAAATATGTATGAAGAAAGTTACAAAAGATGATGGATAACAGACTTCCTGATCAAAATTTTCCAGAGTATAGTAATAAGAGTCAAATGAATAAATTTCTGTGTATACTCGTACGTATACATCAGAATCAACATGACAAAACCCGTGTTATACATCTGCTATGATGCTACGAGAGAACAGATACCTATCATTGTAAATTTATTTTGCGAAAACACACCTCACTGTTTCCAATATCCGAAAAAAGGTCTTTACGTTGTGCCCAACAAATATAAACATCGGCTAGCTCTTTGAGCGTAAACAACAAAAAACTAGGCTATTCCCGAACGCTGCGGGAAAAGCATTGAAAGCCCATTACAGGGGTTCCGCAGTTGAACTCCATTGCGACTCCACGCACGTGCCGGTACCTGTGTGTACGTGTGATATTTTAAACAGATTGCAATCAAACGAATGGATAAAATGATATAAGAAAAGTAACTTCATACTTTTGTGTTATGAGACAGATAAAATAATTATATTTTTATATACTTAATTTCTATTAACTCCTTTCTTTGATAATATAATTTATTTACAATTTTAATAAGTGTTAAAATTGTGTCCAAATTCTTTTATAAATATACTAGCGACTCACCCTTGCCTTGCTCGGGTTCGTCCCTAGGTACGTTTTAAATAGATATGTATAAATAGTTATTAGCCAGCGAACCATATAAATTTTAATAAAAAAAAATCGCGTTTTTTATTCTGATGTTTTAATAGTTATTCTGCAATTCGGGGCGGAGGCAAATCCAACAAATCAAAGGTCATAAAAATTGGTCCAGACGTTCTTAAGTTATAGGTAAATGGTGTAGTTGTATATGTACACCATAAAAATGGTGTAACTTACCCGACTTTGTTTTATATATATAGATCTTTTAAAAAAATAAAAAATATATTTATTTAATATCTATACTAGTAAATGGAGAGTCGATTTTTTTGCTCGGTTATACTGCGATAACTACTGAACCGATCGGAATAATACTCATACCATAAGCATGCAGCGTGTTTATATGCAGGAAAACTCTAGTATATTTCCTTTCAAGTAGATGTTTAAGAACATACAAAAAAATAAGTGAATACTCTTATATATATATATATATATGTATCTACATATGTACATACAATGCATATGTATATCCTATATTTGCCTACTTTTCAATATAAATATTCGTATTAAAAGAGAGCATTTTTATTTAAAAAAAAATTGTGAAAGTTTTACGAGATATGAACATTTTAGCTAGCACATAGTCGACTGGGTTAAATCGTTCTGTTATTAAAATTCTGAACACGTATGGTATACGATTGCCAATACCTGAGCGCGGCAGCTGGAACATGCTGTAAACGTACTAAACATATCGATATTTATTGTTAGGTAATATTTTACCAAAAGTAAAAATACACAAAATATCACACGTTATAGGAATTCTCTAAAGCTTGGGAAATTTCCATAACTTAGTTTAAAAATTTCTACATCTTCGACTCATATCACTTTGAATATAACGACATCTTAGATTATTATAAAAGGATATATATGTGATGATGATGTTCTCCTGACCGATTCCGGCCACGGCGGCCAATCTCATTGCGACTAGCCAACTGCGCAGGAGATATTATAGTGCACAAGTGTACGCGCAGACACAAGTGCACTCTCTATTCCTGTCACTCTCTATTCCTGTCACTCTCATATTCCGGTGGGACGACTGCTCGACACGACCAGTGAGAGTTAAGGCGCAGGACCGACGGCTTTACGTGCTCTCCGAGGCACGGGGGTGAAACACCGCCAACTTCCCAACTCCGGGCTGTTACTGAGGCTTACTTATACAGAAAGACTCAATAACTAAACTTGGCCCGACCCAGGACTCGAACCCGGGACCTCCGGGTGTGCAGCCGTACATGCTAGCCACTACACCACGGAGGCAGTTATATATATGTACATTGTACATAGTATATATATATATATATATATATATATATATATATATATAATAAGAATTTTTATTAATTTGATTTGTATGCAGGCGAAAAATTCTTAATACTATTAAAACGATTCTAAATATTTTTTATTAATTAAACCTATAATGTAACACGAATCAATTTTAATCAGTAAACCACAAACGTATGTACATACCTATATCTTCCATTAAGTGCGAAATTAAAAAGCTCCATTTTCGTGCTTTTTGTATGAACCAGTCAGCCAGATATGAAATATTGACACCCAGTATACAGTGCGTATGGTAAATATTGTAACAATTTGATATGAGCAAAGCACACAGTTGCAACTATAAAGTATAAATATATAAATCATTCGTCCAATAACAACCGTACAGGAATATATATGGGCGGGTGTAAACGAGCCCAATGCTCGAGCAATTACAATTTGTTATCTCCCACATAAAGGTGAGCGAAGGATTGCTCTTTTAAATTGTGTTTTTAATTATGCTTTCATTTTGTCAAGGCTAAAATAAAAAACCGAGTTTATATAGAAAGTTAATTAATTAATTGTATATCGATATATATATTAACTGCATATACGTATTGATTAATTATATAAAAAAATATGTTCAGACATTAACACACAGAACCATCCAGTTCATTATAAGCTAGTTTCATAATAAGCTACGAGGCTTGTGTTATGGATACCAGATAGATGATACATTACACATATAAATACATACATATTATAAATATAAACACCCATAACTGGAGTAAAAACATTCGTGCTCGTCACACAAATGAATGCGCCCAGCGGAACTACAAACTTAGCCAAACGTGTTGTCAAAAATTTGATTACTAAAAAAATATACTTATAAATGCTATAGTACCAAATCATATCTAATTATTAATTTAAACATTACAATCTACACCAGTAAGCAATTTAGTAGCAAAAGTAACAGGTATCATAAATTTCGATTAGGAATTAAATATTATCAGGATTGACAAAAAGAAAGTATATCAATATTTAAAAAACAAAGTCCGTTTAAAATCAAATAAGAACAAAATCAAATTGATCAATCAATACATAACACCTTAGCTACTATATGTATGTACATATTATATGTATACTTATATCCGCCCGCACTCCGATATCCTATTACCTGCAAAGCAGTATTTTATTAAAAAATCGATTCGGCGGTTGTCAAAGTGTTGTGTGTTAAAACGAACAGATATATTAAGGAAAATATAATAAAAAATAATTAAACTAAGACCCCTGTGATACATTCACATACATTTATACTAACATTTCGATTTTTATATAATTTATCAATTCTTATAAGATTACGAAATACATTATATAAAACCGACACATTTTTAATTTATTTGATGACCATATTTCAAAGTGTTTTAGTACCGACAATGCTTTAAGATATAAATATCTAATAGGTAAATATGGCTAGGTATTAACTC